CGACACAACTCAAATCCAACAATTGCATCATCTACAGAAATGCAGGTTGCATTACTTTCATGCAATACAATGATCACATAGCTTCCCTTCAATTGCATTTCAGACATGCTCCTGCCTCCACACAACTTAGGGAAATTAGGGTTAAATTGGACAGAAGTAGAAAAAACGTCAAGTTCACAAAAGATATACTAAAGTATAGCACCATTCTAAAGTTTGATTCTACCCACCATGAAGAGAATGGAAGAAATCTAATCCAAAGAACGTTGCTAGATAGAAAACAATCCTTAATAAGTTACCATGTCAAATGACCAATATAAGATATAACTGATGCAAATTAAGACAGGAAATCACAAACATTATATTACTATCACAGACATGGTAATTAACGTCTAGCTATCAAGCAAAGAGATATTAAAACCCTGTCTACATCAGTTTGAGATGACTAACAATGTATTGAGAAAAATAAAGGGCTGCTGATCTGGCATGCACATATAGATGCTAAAGCTTCTTGACCACTTATGCTCAGATGACGAGCAACCAAAGGTGGGACGTACAACTCTGTAATTGAAACAATAATCACCCAGACGAGTCATGCGAGGCTTTTCAGATCCTCCCCACGAAGCTGGACCCCGGCCATACATAGGCCCTTTGTCAGCAGCACCCTAACAGATAAGCATAGAGACAACTTTAGAGAGAAGTGTAAACCTAAAAGATACACCATTAGACATTTCTGAGAAAAGAGAACACCAACACAAAAAGCTACTGGATACGAAAAAATAATTGGAATCCCAATCATACAAGCAAGCATACCATGTGCATCCCATATCCATCTCCATATGCAGCGGGAAAAGCCCCTTCTGGGCTGGTGAAATTCATACCATATTGTCCACCTTCAAAGAAAGAAAAGGGTGAGATATGAATTAAGAGATTGAAAGCAAGATGTCACACCATAATCCCAAATGCACAAGATACTCTTTTGTGCTCCACGACCTGACCATTGGGAAAACAATTTCAAATATCGCCCATGCAAAGAAATAAAAATAGTTCATTTTTGTAATAGATTGTAAGAAATACGAGATATCAACCCAACTCCCAAGTGGTTGTGGAAGATGAAATTCATTCCTCTATTCAACAACCAGACAGAGCTCAACGAATCAATAAACATGAAATTAAGTATTTACATTAAAAAGAGGAATATAAGAACAGAATGTGATGAAATTTTTTTATGTTGGTAAGCAAAATACAATTGTTTCATCAATGTGTGAGTTTGTCTTCAAGTATACTTGTGTGTTTCTGGCTGTGGGCCTGAATGGGTCCAATGCACGCGCGCGCGCGTGTGTGTGTGAGAGAGAGAGAGAGAGAGAGAGAGAGGGGTTACCATTCTCATACGTATGTTACATGACATCTCATCTCTTCAGAAGCCAATTTTACCATATTAAGTGAAGGTTCAAGGAATGTGCAAGAAGCAGGAAATAAATGCCTCCAGAATATGGTAAGACAACTAAGTAATACCTGCACCCCATGGTCTACCATCAGCCCTAGAAAGTTCTGCATGTAGTTTCTCAACTTCATGTGCCATAGAAACTAGGTTCTTCTCCATTGCCTGTCTTTGCTTCATAAGCTCAATATTTGCCTTCTTTTCATAATCGATTGCATGTCTACAAAACAAAACTTCTAAGTTAACATACAAGCAGTCAATCTAATACACTCTCGATAAGATATGTACAATGAAAAGGAGCTCTAAGATAAGAAAATGAAAACAAATACAATAGAAGCAGGTCCATACTGGCATGCATAAGCTCCTGATGCAGACCATCAATCTCAGTCCTTAGCATAGGAATCTGCTTATTGTTGGACTGCAACCTCGCTAGGTCCTGCGTGAGGGTCTGAACTTGTGCGGTAAGTTCCTTCCTAACACTAGTCAGCTTCTGAACTTCAGAGCGAAGTTGCTTAGCCTCATTTTTGAAGGGCTCAGTTGCCCGTAGATCAGCCTCCAATTTCCAATTTCCTACTTTTCTCATAGAGCTCCCTTGATTTCATTTCTTCTTCGGCACGAATATCTGACAAGGCTACAGTCATCCGATGAATCTCTTCCTTGGCAGCACCAAGCTCAAGCTGAATCGTCATCCGGTCTTCAACCAGTCCCCGGTTATCAGCCAAAAGTCTTCGAATTTCAGCACGCTGCATTTCAAGTTCTTCCTCCAACATTGCAGGATGGGGAAGTGGCCACATAGGAGGGCCTTGGCCATAAGGTCCTTCAATAGGATAGCCACGCCAGTCCTTCATCGCTTCGCGCAGAACACGATGTCTCCCTGCCATTGTAAGTTATCCTGAAACCCACAAATTTGTAGGAAATATCATCCTAAGGAAGGGGAGGAATGAACACGTCAGTGACTGCTAAATCATTCTCCAAACTAACATATCCATAGAAGTCAGGATATCTTTGTAATAAAAAGATTAAACAGTATAGCATTTGCAAAAGCTGAAATTTAATCAATTACACAATTTGACAGTCAGTGTGAAGCATATACCAACTACATTTTATCCAACTAATTAATCCACTCATATCTGATTAATCCTTATGGGTTAGTTTGGATTCCAAGAAACTGAAGGAAATTAAACAAAACTATTTTCTGAAAATTCCAAATTTCTCATCACTTCAGACAAAATGCATACTACACACACACACACACACACAAGCACATAATCCTGTATATAATCGTAATGCAACTTCTCAGGGCAAAAAGAAACGTACTTTTCTCAGTTGGGCACCGTTCAGACAGTAATTAATCACGGTTTCAATTGCATTAATACACAATTAAAATAACTGAGAATCCAAATTTCAATTTCTTTTGTATACCAAAAAGTTAATAATCAAACTGGAATTCGAACCTTTTGTTGCATCGAATTTCTGAACGAATGAGAGGTCCTGAGCTGTTTGTTTTCTGGGCAAGCGAGCAATTTCTCAAATTTGTTTTTGCGTACCAGGCTATTGAATGCTGCTTCTAAGTGACGCCGTTTTGTCCTATTGGGCCATCAGATTGTAGAAACTGTCGACCGCATTTCTTACGACTTTGGAAGGATTTTAATTTTTTTTTTTTATAAATTTAGGGGTATTTCATTAAAATTTTAAGTGATTCTCTGAAAATTTATATGTATTTAATTAGAACTTTGAGAGAGGTTTTTTTTTTTTTTTTTTTGAAGGAAAGTACGATATTTATTGAAAAAAAAAAATGAATACGTACATAAGAGAGAATAGTATGCATAATGGACTGTGATAAAAATCTTGTTGAGGATTTCAACCCGATCAAAGAAAAAAAAAGTTTCATACACAAACGGCTTGGAAATTTGCTATCCTCAACGATACAATGAAGAAATAAAACAAACTAAAGTGAGTTATCTTCCAACAAAACATCAGAGATGAAGCAAGGTGGTTCCACAAATTTTCAATCTTGAGAGAGTTTACTAAAATCAATAGAAATCTTGGTGTAAGAGTTTATAACTTTCTAGATGTATTCAATTAATAATGGATTTTAAAGGATTTTAAAAAGTTAGAGAAATTGAAGAACTTTCATAATGTATTTTAAGTACAAACAAAACCCACCTCTCGTATTGAGAATTTGAAAAAAATTTACATGAAATCAGTTAAACTCGACCAAAATTCGTGAATTAGAGGCTCATTAACGAATTAATTGGCCTTTTTTTAGCCTAAGATAGAAATTTAAAAATAAATGCTAACCACACGTCTGAATGATATATATTTGTGTTAAGTTTGATGTGTGATTCCATCTCCAATGACAGAAGATGTAGTAAGTTCGTATTTACTCTTCCGGTTGTTTTCCATCAGTCCCTACACCATAATAATTATCGGTAATTAGGGAAACTTTGTCTATACAAGTATTAAGCAAACCTTAGACATTGCAATCATGCTAAGCCCTAGTTAGCTAAGTTTCTCTTTTTGTTCAAATTATTTTAGGAATTTGAATTTGAATTTGAAACTTTTGACAATATTGGAAAGAGAATGATCACAAAAATTTGATGTGCTCGAATTACGATTTAGAAGTATTTAGAAAGACCTTTAACATTTTGGGATAGTCAAAATGCCGCTGTTCATGTTGTAGCATCATACGTTATCTCGTATGAAGGTGTCTCCGTTAGGATGCTATGAGTCTGGAGTTTTTATTTAATATTCTTGTTGAAGATGTAAACGTTTCTATTAAAATTTAATAAATGTTATTCTTTGAAAAAAAAAAAAAAAAAGGATATTAATGTACATCAAACAAGCGTATATAAATTTAGTTGTAGTAAAAAATTATAGATTTGATTGGATTTCATAAAATTGTGAATTTTGGTGTATTCTAGGATACATATATGTCTAAAGATTTAAACAATCTCATCCTTCCACCAAAGATTTCATTAAATTCTGCTCCCCTCCCTACGCAACCTTACCAGCGGCTATCCATGTTGGCCAACCATTACCAGACTCACACCCACTACTCACCCCTCCTCCGAGCACTACCACCACCTCTTTCCGGTCTCCCTTCAAAATTTTGTAATTGGTTTTTATAAATTTGATGGTTATTCATATATACATACATACATACATACATACATACACATATATATATATATATATAACATACCATTGTCTTGATTGGAAAGTATTACATTAATTTAAGGCAGGTGAAAGTTTTGAACCCCAGACTCGTGATGGGCATCAATGCAAGGGAAGGAATGTGGGTAAGTGATGGGGATTGGTGATGGCATGCATGTGGGTAAGCGGTTGGGAAGGAATTAATTCATTGGTCTTCATGAGGTTAAGATCTTGAAGGACTTTGAAGGATGTCCATGATTCATGTGGTACAGTGGTAGGGGTTGAAGCTTTGAAGCTGATGTACAGGATACGAGTTTGTGATCTGGTTCGCAGGGATGGTGGCAGGCTGGCAGCTGCTGTTAGGGCTGGAATTTGTCCCCAAATCTCAGAAAAACCAAAAACTATAAACTGATGAACTGTGCCGTAGTCGATACCAAAAAAATACCGATTATTCAGTACAAGATAAGCAATGTCCATCGCATACTATTTTTATACTAGAGATAAGATTCGTATGTGTTGACGGATTCTATCTTTATTAAAAAAATAATACAAATAAATAATAAATATAGTACTAACCGATATAAATAGATAATAAATGTAGCATTTTCTAAAGAAATTTTAATGAAGGACCCACGACGAAGACTATATATTTGTACTGTCTTTTGTCTATGTGTGCAATAAAGGTCATCAAATAGGACAAAAAGAGTGAGCTTTGTGATATCTGCCGACTCAAACCACACGTGTGCAACTGGAGACCCAACCCAGCACACTCCTTTTCTTTTCCCTGTCTTTTCAGGTCTGGCTGTTTTGTATCATTGCTTGTGTACAAAATTGTGGATCAAGATTCTCTCTCCTGAGAATCCCTCTGATCAAGTTCATTGAACCGTTGAAATTTTATTCAACAATTACAAACAAAAGATTTTTTTAAAAGTTATAATAATTATAGTTATTGGATAAAATTTCAAAAGCCCGATGATTTTAATCAGGAGGTTCCTCACCTTTTACTCAGAAGAGGATCTGATCCCAATCTAGTGGGTCCCACCAACTTTCCTTTTGACCCTGATCGGCATCCTCCGCTTCATTCTTACTGTGGGGAAGTTCACAATTGTGTCCTCCTCAGCCGCCCACCTGCATTTGTTCATTTCAAACCAATTTGTAATTTTCAAAAAATGTTATGTGTAATTAAAGTATTTAATTATTTATTAGTTATACAAAAAAAAAAATATTAGATCCAAAAACGACATCACAACAGAGAACAGACCTTCATATTAAAAAGTTGTTGTAAAATATTTGTGTGGGAAGAAGAAAAAGATTTAGTCAAAGTTAGACCTAGAGATCAAATGGTATTTTTCAATTTTTACCACTTTCTATTTTTTAATATTTGATGGTAATATGCAGCAGCGCTATCGCAAGGCTAAGAAACCCTCCTTGATTCTGAGTGGTTTTGTATTAAAAGAAGATCAAGAAAACCGTGATTTGTCTGTCTACTCCTCCTTATTTATCCATTTGTTTATTGTCCACTTTCATGATTGTTGATTTAGTCCTCCCGCAGTACTGAACTAGTGGCTCCTCTACTTATTACTACCTACTTTGACTGCTTTTGGGAGTGCTTTCCTAAGAAATATGAACAAGTGCTTTTAGCAGAGGAGGGAGATTCTCTTCCCCTTCTTCTAATGCCTTTCTATTTATGTAATTACAATTAAATAACGTTAATATTTTATATTATTATGTTTTTATCTTATTATCTTTAATATAAAAAAAATATAAAATGTTAACATAGTTTAATCATGATTACACAAAACAAAAGAGTATGAAAAGTGAAGGGCAGAGAATCTGCCTCCTTTAGCATAAGCTCTTTACATGCACATATAAACTTAAGTGCTTTCTTGAAGAAAAAAAAATGCATTTTAAACTAGTGTTGAGCACTAGATACATGGTGTAGAAAATTGTCGATGAAGGTGTCGATAAATAACTAGACAAATTCCATGCAAGCATGAGCTCAAGGCACTAACATGCATACAAAACATTGGTTTAGAACTATACTATTATTGTAATTTGTCTTCAATAATTTAGGGCTAGTCCGGAAAATGAATGATAAAATTTGACTGTAAGATTGAATCTTAAAGATCGAATAGTAAAAATTATTTAAAAGAACGGACTATAGTGAATTGGATTACCAAAGACAAACCATATTATTAATGAATTAATAAGTTATATGCATGAAAAGTTGAGTCATTCAAGATCAATCCAGTCTGGTGAATCACATGTGGACTAATGGTTGAGTTAGGTCCAGGGAAGAGAACATCGTCTATTACTCTCAAGAGCTTGGGTATCTGCCACTCTATCTGTTATGATGTTACTATATTACCAAATCATGTGTATTATGGGCTTCTCATGGAGTCTTTAGATTTTTTTGGTCTTAACTTTCCTCACACATGGAAACCCATGTGGGTAAATTGGTGGTTGATAGCAAAGGTGGGTTGGAACATTCTCAAGTGACTAATTATCTGTATATAGTGTGTGATTTAGATGTTATGTAGTACTGAGTGTGCAATGCTACGAGGGTTTTGTTTTTTTAATTCAAACTTAAGTACGTAGAACGTAAAACACAATGCTCAAGCCCATTTAACTAAAGTCAGGTTTTCATAAATATAGCAATTTACCCTAGCAGTAAAAGAGCATGGTTGAAAGCAAATATGAAAAGGTGCATGTCAAAGACAAGCTACTGATAGTGGAAGTGCCAGAAAGTTTGATGTATGCAATATTGTCTTTTGCTCAAATGGTAACAAATGTGGAAGAAATGCAGGACTACTTTTAACAGACAACTTTGTTCAATTTCTCCCAAAAAGCATTTAGTTTGCATCTGGTTGAAGAAATCCCAAAAAGCATACATGCCATGTATATTCTTTCATTTTCCCTCGAGTTTTTGTGTTTGACAAAACAATATACCATACTACTCTAATCTACAGGAAGTAATATTCAGGTATAAAATGACCGACATAGTATTCTGATCAACTGACCTAATTCACATCTGTTCATTTTCTTTCATAGTTTTTAAAAACACGCGATATTGTGCAATATAACGTTCTATATCGCTTCATGGAAGAATAAGCTATGCAAGTCTTGAATAGCTTAAACAAAACTGCTACATAACGCGACATTGCATAGCAAAACCTCCCACGCGATATGATTTCAAACTATGCTTTTCACTTAAGTTAATCCCTTAATATTATCTATTCAGTGAACTTAGACTTCATTTTCCACCAAACTTTCCCCACATAGACCTATGAATTAATTAACAAAAGCCTATAATTAAGGAAGAGGGATGCTCATTCTGTCATTCATATCTAATTACCTGAATCGAGTGACAAAGTGGTGTAAGAAAATGGAGGCTTCAAGCCTTGCTAAGTCAAGTCCAGGACATAGCCTTTGTCCTCCTCCAAAAGGAGTGAAGTTGCAGCTGCTCATATCTTTGTCCTGCAGAGATTATACAGCTCCAATCCGTTACTTAAAAACAAGAGTCCAAATTAATGTACTAACTGGTTAGCGTTTTAACGCTATTGCATGCGTATATATGTAGTCACTATTGCATGCGTATATATGTAGTCATTCTTACTTGCCACCTCCATGGATTGAAGTGATAAGGCCAATCATAGTTATTCTGATCAAGATGAACTGATCTGAAATATGTGAAGACACACCATCCCTTTGGTATTAAATACCCTTTTATCTCCACATCTTTCATGGCCTTCCTCATCACCCCAGTTATGATGTTTCCCATCCTTAGGGTTTCTGTGATCACCTGTGTAATTACAATAATTAAATTAAAAAGTTTAAAAAATGCATAGTGTTCTGGTGAGTTACTGCTGTGAACTTTTAAATTACTGTGGTATTCACTTACATTTTGTGTAAATGGTAAGGACAAGTAATCACTCCAACACAGTGGCTCTCCAAGCTCATCTTTCAGAGCTTTTAACTTCATGTTCTCCTCCTGAGTTCATCATCAAGAATTCAATTTTAAAAGAACAAAACAACAATGGATTTTTTTTGTAAATTTCCTATTCCTTCAGAGACAATAACAGATATGTTGTTTCTTTGGGAAATTTGCATACAGTACTACTGATAAGAGAGATTTTATATTCGAACAACAAAAATAATGGGTTCGCAACTAATTTATTCATTTATCTCTCAATGTAAATGTATCGTTATATTAAGAAAATATAATATACTGTTCTTGTAATGTGCTCCCGAATACCATGTGTTTATATGTCTTAGAATTCCACTTGCCCCATAAACTGTATTGCTTAGACAGCCACACGCGAAAAGAGCAAAATCACCAAAACGACAAGGAAAATGAAAAATGGCACATACAAAGTAGTCAAAGAGTTGGACTTGAGTGTCACAAAGTTCCAAAAAAAGAGATCAATCTTAGAAAAAAGATGGTGTGACGTTTATTAATAGGTAATCGTGGCACGAGTAATGAGATAATCTTACATGCAAATTAAATGTATTTTTTTTTCACTATTCATGAGCAAAGGTGGGATTGTGTAACTAATAGTATCCGTGCAGCAAGCAACAAGAAAATCTTGCATACAGCTAGAAATATATTCCTTCTTCCTATCTTCATCACGCTTATTAAGTTAGTATGACGAGGGCAATGGAAAATGGATGTATTACTAGAATGAATCATTGCAGTAAAGAGAATTTGCTATTTACCAAAATGAAAGCAAAAAAATGAAAGAGATTTTTGCATACAGTTAATTGTTGGAGAGCAGTGGGGGAGTCTGAGAGGTATTTGATTGCAAGAGTCATGAGAAGTGGCACTGAATCCTCCCCTGGTATCATCATATCAATCATGTTATCTGCTATCAGATCTCCTGTTAACTGCTCACTTGTGTCTCTCAGCAGAACATCTACCACATCTTTGGGAACCTTGTTGGAGATTATATCACTCTCTTTTTTTTTAGCTTGTATGATTTCCTGTACTAGCTTGACCATTTTCTTCTTTGCCTGAAATTAATTAGGACTCAAAATATCATTACGAGAATATGATTTAAAAAACAACATTAAACTACTTATATTATCAGATTGTGAATTCAGATCACATATTAAGACAAACCCAACTTAACCTAAGTTTTGAAATCACGGTCCAGCAACATAAGACTCTCTGACAAATGAACTTTTCATTAAAAATTGATAATTAACTTGCCTGTAATGATCTGTAAAGTCTACTTCCAGGAATGTTTATGGGTATAGACATGAGGCCTGCAATGAATTCTTGGAACTGTTTCTTTAGGAACTCCATGTCCTCACCAGGATCCAAACTAATCAATGCTTTGACAAGTACTTGGAAAGCAATCTGCAGACAAAAAGGACAATTTCTTGGTAAATTTTAATAAGGACTGTAAAGAGACTTAATAATTATGAATCTATTTCCACAGACAATATCATTCATGCAGAATTATTATGAATCCCATTTGGCATTTCATAACTCGGAAAGGAGTAAGATTCTCTTCTTTCTAAATTTCTTCTATTTTCCTCTTTTTCTTCATAGTTTGTTCTCTGTCTTTCTCTTTATAAAAACTCAATATAAAATATTAACGCGAATTAATCGTGATCGTTCAAATAGAATAAGAGAGAAATAGAAAAATTTAGAAGAAAAAGAATGTTACTCTACTGGAAAATGCTTTTTTGCACTCCATTTTTATCCTCTTGCACTACCCCTCTTGTTTCTAGTCATATAATTAAATAAACAACGGCGAATTAAAAAGACGGAAACAAGCATCGGAGTGTAGGACACCACAAAATTATAAAAATCATTTCCCTTTACAACTAGGTTCATTTCTTTATGGAAGATCATAAATTCTGCCACTTAACCTAAGTAGAAGCCACATATAAAAATTCAAATATCAATGATTTATTATTTGGCCACGAGAGAGAGATTTGTTTAACCCAAGTGCTTAATGGAGCATTTATTGTAGAAAGATGATGTTTTACCGAACAACCAATTGAGATTATAAACATATGCAAGGTTCTTTATCATGAACAGGTTCTTTATCATGAACAATGTTGAGTTTTTATTATAAAATCAATTGGTAATATGAAAAATAATCTAATTACTTATAAACACATGCAAAATCTCTTCTTTTCTCAATGTGAGATTCATAATCTCTAACACTTACTTTATTATAAAAACATTTTAATAGAAGAGAAAAATCCACCAGTAGATCTAAAGAGAGATGGCATTTTTGTTTTGTCTTCTGTCCATTGAAACTCTTCTCGAAGACCAAACAATCTCAAACTTCAAACTTCAAACTTAGAGAGAGAGAAAACAGAGAGAGAGAGAGAGAGAGAGAGAGCTAACATGTTTGGTTTCATCTTGTATGTAAATGGGATGGTCGTCTGTCCAATTTGCCATGGATTGTTGGACATAGTTTTGCATGTCTGTGGTGATTTGAGCTTTGAGGTGTGGGGACTTTAAAAAGGCTCCAATGAGTCCATGGATTCTTCTCTGCAGGGCTCCGTTGATGAGCAAAATAGAGGACTTCCCCATCAACTCGGTGAGTGATTTTGGGTAAGATGGCACAAAAGATTTTGCATCACTCTGCAGAACAATTTTACTCACTTCTGCATCTGTTGATACAATTGTTGGACTTCCAAATATGTGTGACTTGAACACCTTCCCATACCTACAAATTAAACACCCCCAAAGATTCAAATACGATTGGGATTTTCAAGTTTTCGACTTTCGAAACTAATGAAGTAAATCAGCTGAATTAGAACTGAAAAGTTCTTATTGGGAATTTCAAGTTTTCAACTTTGGAAATTATCGGTAAAGTTAAATCAGCTGAAACAAGAAGCTGAATCATCAGAACTGAAAAGTGCTTATTGGGTTTTGTATCTGTAATGCAAAACACAAACCCAATGAAGCATATTCATTAACACAAGCTTAATCAAAAGTTAAGCATGGCACATTAATATTACAAAAAAAAAAAAAAAAGCGTTTATATAAAAGTAATACAAGTTACTTGGGTACTAATTAATTTCTGTTTTTACTAATTACGTTTTAATGTACTTACAAGTGGCGGCGCTTGTCCATGAAGCTCTCAGGGCAGTCGGAGTAAGCACAAGTCACAAACTCAATGGTTTCACCAAGAAAAGGAAGCCCAAGAGTTCCCAAAGGAAGTTGGGTTCTTCTGTGTTTTGATCCGATGAGTGAAGTAGTAGCAGAAGCAGTAAAAAACCTCAGAAAGTTGGAGTTGGTGGTGTTGTTTCTGTAGAGGAATATTATGGACAAGATCGACACGATTGCTGTTGCTGTTGCTGCTGCTGCTGCTGCTGCTGATATTAGTACAATCAGTGAATTTTCCATTTTTTGAAAAGTTGCCGCACGAACAATGCAGTACTACGCTCCTCTAAAAATAAGCTTATGCTTTGCCTTTTGCTTTACCTCTCTGCTCCCTCTTAAATAATAATATTATCAATCATGGTTGCAATGAGGACATTTTTGTGACTGAAAAATAAATGTGCATGTGTGCAGTGCCCGCGTGTGGGAAGAGAGAGAGAATGTTTGTTTTGGTCGAAGAGAGAGAGAATGTTTAATTAAGGGAATATATTTGTATTGGGAGATGGATGAGAATTCCTTTTTTTTTTTTTTGTGGCAGTTTTTTTAAGGTTTAAATGTAGAAGGTTAGTGTGGTGCCTTGAGATTTATAGCCAAGCATGAGAGCCAAAATAATTCTTGAGATTTATATAACTTTTTACTTTAGTTCTTAAGATTTGAAATCAATAAAATTGGTTCTTGAAATTGTCCATCATCAATCATTTTGGTCATTCCATGAAAAAACTCTATTAAACAATAATAAAATGACAAAAATACCTTCAATTTTTGTCAAATCATTTTAGCCTACTATTTATTAAATTGAGGATATTTTTGTCATTTAGATCCTTATTTAACATAATATTGGAAGGACCAAAATGATTGATGATGAAGAATCTCAGTGACCAATTCTATTGATTTGAAATCTCAGAGACCAAAGTGATAAGTTATGCAAATCTCAGGGACCATTTTGGCTAAAAAGCAGCTAGTTTTAGGAGTTTTTTTTTTTTTTTTGTTAATATTCATTTTATACGAGCGATATTGTGAAAAGAAGAAATTGAACCATGATCTCGTATATAGAAGTATATAATGCTATTGACAAGTCTAGTTATAAACTCTCTTGCATTGACAATGAAATATACGATCACTAATTCGTCGATTTAAAATTCAGTGATTAACAAAAAAATGTGGAAGATCCCGAGTTTGATGCTCCGAACTGGTGAGTCTGCTTGACTGTGGCTACGAGCAGGGTTCCCTATAGCCTTTCTGGGCCCTGAATGAATGGATAACCATAGCTTACCATCATCTGTCCACCTTTTTATTTATATATAAAAATAAATAAAAAACAAGGAACATCAATCAAGCATTTGATACATTGTATTTCATGAGAAGCCAACTTTATGAGTTGGATTGACTAATGAGTCAACACTATGGCTATCAAGCACAAAGGTAATCTGTTTATAGCAGAAGTTATATGTTTATAGCTTTAGTGGAATGACTAATTAGATAAGTGTTCGAGAAAGTAAATCAAACTGACAAATTTAATAACATAAAACGTCGGAAGATATATGCGTAATACAACATGCATATGTTTATAGCACAAGGTATATGTTTATAGCTTTGGTGAATTAACTAAGTAAATAAGTGTTTAAGTAAATTAAATCGACAAATCTAATAACATAATATGTCAAATGATCTATTCATAACAAGACTTATATATGGCATGGGAATATGATAAGAAACAACTTTCTCTTTTGCTCTTTTTCTTTTGATGCAAAAGTAGCAGAAAGAACTTAAAATTCTTTCATGATTAAGTTGGTTGGGATATAATACAGATATATCTATAAATTGAGAGACAAGTCCCACAAGTTGATGATTGATCGTCTTGCGTGTAATGTGTACTGAGGCGGCCCCCCATTGGCACAGGCTCAGCTGCGCGGCCTCGTGCATTCATGTGAGACCTTGATTTATCCAACCACACTTCATCATCATTCCGTTACCCTTACCCTTACCCCCTTCCCTTTTCTAGGAGAAATTTTTAATTTGTCGGAAAACACGGTTCAGTATACTCTTGTGTCATAATATTGGTTGGAGATTTTTTTTTTTTTTTTTGGCAAGTTTCTAACCAATTGTATTATTACATTTAATGTATCAGCTTGTGTTTCCTGTCATTTGGTACTATGATCAGTGGCAAACCCACAAAGGGACTTGGGAGAACCCAAGACCCCTCGAAGACCCCTAAATCGTTTCTTGAAATTTTTCAGAGATTCCTCATACTTGAATGAAGGATGTGCAGTTGCAGCAATGGTGTCCTCACAGGAAGATGAACGTGTGGAGGAAGAAAGAAAATTTTGCCTTTTTCAACTTCGGCTCAAAATGCACGTTTTAGCCAACTGATTAAAACCTTTTGAAAAAAAAATAAAAAAATTAGACAATGTCATAACGCTGCCATTTGCTTCCTTTTTGTTTTAAGTCTCCAAGACCCCGTCACTCTTCCCGAATCTCCATACCTTACTCATCCCTTCCCCCATCCAAAACCTAAAACCCCCCATTTTCACATATCCAATCCTCAATTTCCCAATTCTCAGAACCCTAAAATCCTAAAATCCCACCCAAACTCATATTTTAATTTTACTCGAATATCATATCTCAATTTGTTTCAAATATCCACACCACCACCATTTGGTTCAAGATTTAAATAAGATTTTTTGGTATTCTAATCTCAACTAAATTATATTATTTATTGATGGAGATTTATAATCTATTATTGATATGATTATAAATATGTTTTATGTTTGTGTACTCATTTAATTATTGGAATTTTGTTTATTGATTAATTGGTATATGTTTTTTTTGTGTTTTTTTTTTTTTTTTTTTTTGTTAATGTGTAGTGTGGAGATAAGAAATATGGAAAGGTTTTTCAAGCCAAAGAGCATATTGGTAAATGGAACATTTTCAAACTATGAACATCATCGTAGACACTTGAATTATAATTTTATAGTTTGTAATGTTGTTTGCGTATGATTCATGAATGAAATGTATTATAATTTAACTTTTAAATGTTATTTTTATCTATATATTTTTTTACCTTTATTATTGGGATCCTCCAAATGTAAAATTATGGATCCGCCACTGACTACAGTTTAGTGGTATATTCCTTTTCACTTGTAAGCGAGAGGTCTTAAATTCGATAATCGCCAAAGCTGAATTTGAACCACATTATGTTAGCCCATTGTGAAGCTTAACCCACTCTCTCCTCTTAGTGTAGATAAATATCGTTTGTTAAAAAAAAAATTTGGTTGTAACACACTGAAATATCTCTCCTCCCTCCCCCTCAACTTTTGTCCTCTCTCTCTTAATCTCTATCTTTCTCTCCTCAACATCTACAAGCTTAGGCCAATAATTGTCAAGCAATTGGGCAATAAGCAATTATTGCCTTAATGAAAGTAATTACCCAAGTGCATATGCACCTCATAAATGAATAGTCCGGGCAATTGGCTTTAAAATTTTATTTTTAAAAAAATAATAAAAGATAATAATATGTTTGTGCAACAAAAAATAATCTCAAAATTCAGAAAATGACACGTGGATTTTTTTTCAAAGAAGACGAGATTGCCCTCATTAATTGGGCAGGGCAAACAAATGCTCCCATGCGCAGTTCAATACTAAAGGCTTGAGCAGCTGCCTACGACATCACCAAACTCCCTGCTCATGGCATGGAAAAGTTAAAGGCATTAAAGATAAGATTAATCACCAAATCCTATCTTTAATACATTCCTAATTAAAGACCAACTCAAACAAATAAGGAATCTTCATCATAATCAATCAAGGATGCCTATTAATCCCAAATATTTTCTCCTAATTAATAGCTTGGGATAATTCTTTCCTCATTCATCCTACGGACAACACAACCTGACCAATTGGAAACCGACATGCGTAGGGCAAAACCCTAACCCCATGGCTAGCCATCTCCTTATAAATACTTCAACTACATCATTTTCTAATAAGTTCTGGCGACGCATGCAAACCGTAAAAACTCACTCTTCTAAGAGATACTGACTTAGGTATCGGTGATCCATTATCCAACCCCTCCCCCCTCCCCACCGGCAACCTGGTGGATGCATGCGGCTTTGGTCCTTGATCAAAGATGTTGATTGTTTTGTTGGTACAAATTTGTCAAGACTGAAAACAACAGATTTTTAACACCACAATGTTAATTTCGGAAAGGATTTTTAACTAATCCTATCACGCCATGTGTTATTATCCGAAATTACAATTTTTGTGGAAAAGTATGGTTGGGTATTTTGTGAAAAATATATAATAAAAAAAAATTAAATGTTTAACATTATTTTCTAACCAAATTAATGCGGACCTTAAGATACAATTTTTTTTTTTTTTTTGCAATTCAATAGGCTAGGTTGTGCCAAGTGGGCCCAAAATATTTTTCTTTTTCTTTTTTTCATATTTTTATCCCTAAATTAAGGACGAATTAAGATGAATCTTTGGATTATAAGATAGTTATAAATTCAATGGTCCATGTTGGTTGGCAGGCCTAACGCAAAATAATAATAATAATAATAATAATAATAATAATGTAGTTGACGTCAGCCAAAATGTCAAACGGACTCAAGCACACACACGGCGCGAGGATTGTCCGGTGACTTGGTCCGGAAACCTTCAGCCCACAATTTTCCCGACTTTCTGAGGGAATTGGATTGCTCAATTCTCTTCGCAGTTGGGTAGAGCTGAGGTTGCTCTATCAAGACCAAAAAATGCAAATTTAATCTCTTGTAAATAACTCTTGGGCCGAGAATGTTGCAGAAGCGAAACACTTTTCCTTCAACTTTTTAAATTTCTTTGTTACGATGGACAAAATAAAATTTAAACTTATTGTAATCTTAATTAATTACTTTATCATCCTTAATCATTTAACTAGTAACTAGTTTCCCAATTACACAATTCCAAATCTATATCCAAATAGATTAATGGACCATTTGTTACTGCCCATGTCCTTTATGATGCAGCATTGCTTTATTTCCTTGTCCAAACTTCAAACTAACCTAACTTGTGATTTTCTTAAACATAATCTAATACTTTAATTAGATGATCTCATCATTTTATAGGTAAACTAATTAATACTTTAGTCACACAAATCATCATTTCATCAAATAATTCGGCTCTTAATCGGCCCCATTTGTTGACTTTCCACTAAATCTTCAGAATCCAATATAATATTTTGGATATATTTGTTGGAATTGGATCCCATCCGGATCTATTTTGTAGGGATCCTAGGGAACCCCACATCTTAGTCATTTATTATATACCGTGCGATCAGAAATTATTTGAACATAAATAGTATCTGATGAAAACTGACCACACAATATACGATTAACAGTTAAAATGTGGGGATCCCTAAGATCCCAACAAAGTGAATCAGGAGAGGATCCTCTTCCATATTTGTTTATCCTCTCCAAACCATGGGGTTTTGGGATCTTTGGAGCATATATTATATTTTTTGCACTAGTCTAGGTTGTGTGTACCAATTTCTATTTGTTAATGCCCATATTCTTTCTAGTAAGTGTGCATATGCTTTCAGAGAAGACGACTCGAATTTAGGACCGCTCTCAACAGCGAAAAAAGACATATTATTAGATTAATTACTAGTAGGTGGTGCACGAGCTTTCTTGGGGCGATTAAAAAGACAGTGCACTTACACGTTGTGCAGAACACAAATGAAAATTAAACTTTATTTTCTCCCTCTGGAAATGCTACTCAGCTGAGAGAGGCC